CAGGCAAGAGAAGAAGCTTACTTTACAATTGATATTCGACAGCCAGTCCCATTCAGGCACGCTGCCTGAGGGAGGCGGAGACTCGCGACGGGCTATTAAAACAATGTTTCGAGCTCCTTCCTCTGCAAGCCAGCCGGCAACCACCAAGCCAAGAGCGCCAAGGCCACCTGTTATGACAATAGCCCCGTCCTCTACTGGTTCAATAGAGCTCGGGAGCTTGACGACGACCTTCCCAATATGCTGGGCTCTCTGCAGATACCTAAATGCAGCCACTCCTCCCTCAACAGGATCCTCCATGTCAAATACTTTCAGTGGAGGGCTGGAGAGCCGACCACTCTCGACGCTCTCCCGGATTCTGTCAAGCATTCCACCAAACCAAGCGGGGTCTTCTTCCATCATGGTGTCCACAGCTATTGTCTCGTACATCACATCTGGACGAGCCTCCTTCACTTGCTCTCGAGTCCAAATGCCCCTCTTGCCCAACTCCATGAAGCGTCCATTTGGTCCGAGCAATTTGAGAGACTCTGGGATATAGTCGTCCACGAGCGTGTTCAGCACTACGTCGACGTGCCCGTCTGGCCCTAGGAACTCACGCATATCCTTCGCAAAAGTCGACGCATCTCGGCTGGTGCTTACGTATTCAACTCCTAAAGACTTGGCATACTCAGCCTTGCGGCCACCACTGCATGTTCCGTAGACAATAGCGCCCATCCGCTGGCAGTACTGAACAGCGGTTATGCCTACACCGCCCGTGACTGCATGTATTAGCACCCTGTCGCCTGCCTTCACCTTCGCCAGATCTCCTAAAGAGTATTCCACTGTAGATGCAACTACAGGAAGAGCCGCGGCCTCTTCAAATGAGAAACCAGCTGGCATTAAACGTATTAGTTCCGCAGATGTTATTGCAAAGCTTCTTAAGCATCCCGGTACTATGCCGTAGACACAATCACCTATTTTGAATCTGGTCACTCCTGGTCCGACGCGTACAACAGTACCTGCACAGTCAGCTCCAGGAAGGCCTGGATCACCAGGGTATAGTCCCATAACGTTGAGCACATCTCGGAAGTTCAAACCAACAGCACGAATTCGCACCTCGACGCATCCTTCAGGCAAATCGGCTCTCGCTGAAGCAGGCAGAGGGCGAAGTTTCAGCATGCTCAAGGCTCCACGGTTACCCATAAATAACTCGAGGGAACCACGGCACTCTACGGAGGATTTCGTCAAGCGAGGAACATACTGTACTCCGTTGCGCACGCAGATTTCAAGTTCTGGAGAAGAAGCATCATCTCGTATAGCTTGGGTAATAATGTTAGTGATCACTGTGGGTTCTTTTGTCGCCTCTGGAGGAACGTCTATGCATCCCAATTGGACTGGACGCCCTATTGTATTCTCTACCTCAAGCCGGGCGGAACGGCAGAAACCCCAGACACCTGCATGAGTTGGATTGACAAATGTGTCTTCATCCACTGCTTGGACATGCCCTGTAGTGACGACGTATGTAGGAGGAATTTCAATGTGAGCTGGAACCTGTGCCAAGGCTTTAGAGATGGTCAAACAGTCTGCGATGCAGTCAACCTCTGCGCGCGACTTGTCCAGAGCGCCCATGTAGATTACTCCACTCCACACCTTGCTTTCAGTTCCCTTCTGGTCGAGAGTGCCTTGCAGCTCCTCTACAGTTGCCACTTGGAAGGGTGTAGAGTTAGTGCATTCCTTTAGGCCCTCTACAAAGTCCTCAGGGCAACCGAGCAACAGTATCGGGACAGCTCGACTCGGGTGAGAATCAGACTGAGGGGACGTAGTGCGAGTCTCAATATCATCCTGCTGGCCGCGGCTGTGGCCTGGAGAGCTTTCGCCGCTGTTTCTGGTGGATTCAGCAGCCGCTACTTCTGAGTCGGAGAAACGTGGGCGCCAACTAACTTCCCACAGAAGATTTCTGGGAATAGTGGCTCTCCGTGACATGTCCACCACACGCAGGGTCAAATCCTCAAGGACTGCATACGGCCTTCCTTTACCTCCATATATCGTTATATCGAGAACCGCCATGCTGGAATCCTTCTTCTTCAAGATGGCGTGGCTCCAAACCAGAACATCTGGTGGCAGTCGGGACATTGTGGCCTTGCGAATGCCCACAGGAACCATAGGTCGGGTCGGATGTACGTCGTCAAGAAGCAATGATGCAGACTGGATGGCGCCATCTAGCAGGGCTGGATGGAAGCGGAATGTTCTTTCGAATGGTAGAAACGGCTGCTGAACCTGCAACCTACAGATCGCTTCGGTTGGACTCCGGTAGGCCTCCCGAATGGTCTGGAAACGCTTCTTGTATTGAAGCCCAGATAAAGCCATTGTACTGTAAATTTCTTCTGGGGCAACTGCCTGTGGTATGCGCTTCTTAGCTTCGTCTAAGAATCCCCATCCTTCTGTCAAGTCGAAAACAGTGTCAGCTGGGGCTAGCCGAACAGAAGATCGGCAGTGAACGTGGGCTTCGTCATCTTCCTCAAGCTGGCTTTTGACTTGGACTTCGTCTTTGTTAACTGTGGCGATCACAGCAACGGTTGGCTCGTGTCCCTTCTGAGCACTTTCCGGGTCAAGCAACCGCATCGGACGGTCGAATTCGACATCTGTTAGCACTGTTGCTGTACTTGGAATCTTGCCGTCGTAGTGCATGAAGGCTGCGCTGCTCATAATTTCCAAGAACCCCGCACCGGGCATGATGGGAGTTTGGCTTACAACATGGTCTTGCAGCAGGTCTAATACATGGGCGTCTAGGACAGTCGTTGCTGTTGCCTGTGTGCTGCCTTCTCTTTGCACATTATCAACAAGCGGCGTCGTAAGCTTGAACCATGGGAAAGCCTGCCGTTTCCATTCATGGCGGCGTTCTTCATTCGAGAAGAGTGCGTTAATGCTGTTTGCAACTTGTTGAGTGTCTGAAGTCTTCGGGTCGAGGAGTGACAAACACAGAATGTCAGAAGCCTTTAGGGACTGCTGAGCCATGGTAATCAGCGTTGGCATGGGACCTAGCTCAACAATAATCGATACGTCACAATCGAGCACCGCACGAACACCGTGCAGGTACTTTACAGGAAGCCGGATTTGTTCAGCCCAATAATCCGCAGTTGACACTTCAGTCATCGACGTCGTCCCTAATGCTGTGGAGACATATGTCACTGTTGGTTGCTTAAGAGGAACCCCAACAAGGGCTTCTCTGAATGGCTTGACCGCATCAGCAACCAAGCTGCTGTGGAAGGCATGTGTTGTGTTAAGCTTCTTGTACCGCTCACCAATACCAAGAGCACCAACAACCTTGAGGACATCAGGCTCTTCACCAGCCAGCACAATACTTCTGGGACCGTTGATAACTGCTACTTCTGCTGTTTTTGCGGAATCTCCAACGCTGTCAAGGGCCTTCTGCGCCTCCTCCTGGGAGCAGCGGCAAGCAATCATTACCCCTCCACGAGCAGGCAATTCTTGCATAATTCGTCCTCTCTCGACAAGAAGGTGGAGGGCATCCTTTACGTTCATGACGTCCGCCGCAACAGCTGCAGCGTACTCGCCAATGCTGTGGCCCAGTACAACATCAGGCTCCAAACCTTTGTTTTTGGCTAGGCAAAGAAGGGCGTATTCAACAGCAAAGATTGCCGTTTGGGCGTAAAGAGCTTGCTCAAGAAGTGACGGACCTTTGGAGTCCTTGGTCGGATAAATCGCTTCCAGTAATGGTACCGGCAGCAATTCTTCGAGAAGATGACTGCATTCATCCATTGCCTCCCTGAAGACCGGTTCATTCTCATATAGTTCCTTTCCCATATTTACGTATTGACTGCCCTGCCCTGTGAAGAAAAACGCGATTTTTCGCTTCCCTGCTCCTTGCTTGACGGCGGCCCTTCCAGTTGTTGCAATATACTCTTCCAGCACCACATGAGCATTTGCTCCGCCGAATCCGAAAGAGCTAGTGCCGGCAAGCACTTTGGACTTATTAGGTGCGGGCTCTAGGGGGACTACGCAGTTCGGCAATACAAGAGGGAAGTCCTCGATATCCATGAAGGGATTTGGAGTTGTATAGTGTAGATTAGGAGGTACAGCACGGTTTGCCAGGCAAACGAGAACCTTCAACACATTTGCAATACCAGCTCCTCCTTCCAAATGTCCGATGTACGACTTGAGGGCACCAACAATCAAGGGATTACTGTCATTTCTATTCGTTCCGTAGACTGCACGGATGGCACCCATCTCAATTGGGTCACCGAGAGAAGTACCTGTTCCGTGGGATTCGACATAGCGAACGTCTTTTGGATTTACATTTGCGTGACGTAAAGCTAGCTTCATGCATTCCTGCTGCATGGGGCCATACGGAGCAGTCAAACTGGCACTGCGGCCATTATGGCTGACAGCTGTTCCCTTAAGTACCGCAAGTATTTTTTGTCCACTTGCCTCGGCGTCCTGAAGTGGTCTAATGACCACTGCTCCTGCACCCTCTCCGCGTACGTAACCATTAGCAGCTGCGTCGAACGTAGCACAGCGGCACTCTGGCGAGAGCATACGTGCTTTGCAGAATGCTAAAAACAACTGCGGCGAAAGCATCAAGTTGATTCCTGCCACCAGAGCTCCGTTGCAGTAGCCGAGGCGGATCCCTTGAAAAGCTGAGTCCATTGCCACAAGAGAGGAAGAGCACGCAGTGTCAATTGTCATGCTCGGCCCGTTAATACCGAATACATAGGAGACTCGGTTTGAAACCAAACAGCCGGAACCGCCAGGACCTGAATAGCTGCTGCTTTTGAAGGGGTCGGACTGCTGTTCAAGGAAATGCCAGTCCGAGTTGCAACAGCCAATCCACACACCGATTGATTTTCCCACAAGTGTGTCGCGTGAATAGCCCGCTGCGTAGAAGGCATCATATGCCACCTCCAGTGCCATTCGCTGCTGCGGATCCATATAATTAACCTCAGCAGCAGACAAATTGAAAAAGCTGTTATCAAACATTTCAGCGTTGTCCATGAATGCGGCCTTTCGAACATACATTTTCCCCTTCGCATCTATCTCCGCATCATAAAACAAGTCAACATCGAAGCGAGTCAACGGGATCTCGGAAACACAGTCTTTTTCTCTGCAGACACACCGTAAAGTCACACACGACGACGCTAAAGAGAAAAAAGCTCACTGAAAAACATCGTCCTTACTCAGAATTACCTACATATACCCTGTCTGAATACTTAAGCTCCAGTGAATCACAGGCGGATGCGGAATTTCATATGAATGGGCTGTGTTCGCACCTTAAAAGCATTTCCCACAGTAGCGCAGGGCTCTCACTGTTCCCTGGAAGTCTGCATGATGCTCCAATGACGGCAAGCCCTTGCGTGTGGCCCATGAGAGACATCACTGATGTCGGTTGTTCTGATGACCCTGAGGCAATGTTTCCGGAAATCTGATTTTGGATGTAGGTTATTATTGCCCCAATAGTCGGGTAATCAAAGAGGGTCGTTGCTGATAGCTTGACTCCAAGTCTCTGAGCAAGTCCATTACGTAGCTCCACGGCACCCAAGGAGTCAATGCCCAACTCCTGAAGAGGAGAGTCAAGAGGTGGAACCTCCTCTGCACCCAAAACTTGCCTCGCCGTGTCAATAACTACTTTGGTGACGTGCTCCTTAAGCTGCTCGGGAGTCATTGAGCTGTACAGCTGGCGCAGTGCCGCTGGGGTTGTCACATCAAGCTCCACATATTCAAAAAAGCGCGGCATAGTGTCGAATTGTTCACTGTACTTTTTCCATCTAAAGGCTTGGCAAAGAACCGGCACGGGCATCTCCCCTCCTCGCAAACAGTCCACAAGAACACGAAGGCCGACATCATTCGTTAGTCCACGAAGGCCAACCTTTTCTATTTCTTGTCTTAAACCGGCTGCCATGCCCTGCTCCACCCACGGACCCCACTGGATGCTCTGACCACACAATCCTATAGACCGGCGCCACGCAGCTATAGCGTCAAGGCAGGCATTGGCTGCTGCATAGTTCGCCTGGCCAAAGTTTCCCAAAAGCGCAGCGACTGACGAAAACATCAAGAAGATTTCGAGGTCCTTGTTCAAATCCAGTTCCTCGCACACCTCGTGCAAGTTCCAGGCCCCCACAACCTTTGGAGCATAAACCTTCTCAATCGACGCCTTGTCTTGCTCGGCGAGAGCCTTGTCATCAGTCACTCCTGCTGCATGGAATATTCCGCGCACGGGAGGCCATTCGCCAGATTGAATCTCTTCAAATGCCTTCCTGACGTCTTCTTTCTTGCTTATGTCGCACTTTACGTGCTTGATTTGAATGTTAGGTTGGGCACTCAACAAATATTGCCAGGTTTCTCCTTCCTTCAATTCAGCAGATGGCTCCCCAGACCGCGAAAGCAGTGCAATATGCCTAGCGCCTTCCTCTATGAGCATTTTGCAAACGACTAGACCAAGCGCTCCGTGGCCGCCTGTGACTATATAGGACTTCGCCAGGGTGGCGGCGTGCACTTTTGGCGAGAGAGCAC